GTGAAGTTCACAGTCTACATGTTGTGTGCTTGTGACGGGGGGATCGGAGGGGCACGAGTTGGGGGGAGGGGGGGAAGGAGGGAGGAGGGAATGGGGGGAGGGAGGTGTGGCGCACGGAGCAAAGAAGCAGGGGAAGGACGAATCAGGATGGGGGGAGGGAAGCTTCTCCATTGTTCCGACCGCTCCGCGCCTCCCGCTCCCCTCTCGCTGCCGCCGCCGCCCTCGCCCCCGCCATCGCTAGTCCTCGCCGCCGCCGCCGCAGCCACGGCCACGACCACGGCCATGGCCGCCGCCGCAGCCACGGCCACAGCCGCAGCCGCAGCCGCAGCCATGGCCACCGCCACCGCCATCGGCATCGGCATCGGCATTGCCGCCGCGGTCGTTGCCCACGTCGCCGCCGCCGCCGCCCCGAGGCATGCGCAGCGGCCCGATGCGGGGCGCGCCGGCCCGGGGGCCCACGGCACGGGCGGCCACGAGCAGCACGACCAACGTGGTCATCGGGGGCGGCTACTCGCCGTTCGGCTTCGGGTGCGCCCCCGACCCCGTGGGCAGAACGGAAAGCATATCTCGGAGAGGGTCTGTCCGCACATCCACAAAGCCCTTGTGCCCACTCTTGTTTTCCTGAGCCAAGCCGAAGGTAGCGAAAGCAGAGCAGTGTGGGCCACCACAAGGGGCACTCCGTCGATGTGCGGGGGCCCCTTCGCTGACACATCCGCTTCCGCGGCCTCGCGGGCCGGGCCCCTGGGCCGCGACCCCGCGGGTACGTTCTTGTTGTTGCACGGGTGCCTCGCGCGGAGCGTGTCCCTGCGAGCGCGCATCCGCGGGATCGCGCCCTCCGGAGTCCAGACTGCGGGGGCGCGGATACGGCTGTGTTCGCCGCCCCTGGCGAACTCCCTCGGACCGTCGACGAGGTGGTTTTTCCAGCCCCTCGGCGTTCCTCCCAGAGCTCGGCCTCGGGGTCCCGCACAGCGCACCAGGAAGCTTGCTGCTTCTCGCCAGGGCACCCTGGGCTTCTGCCCTCCTCGGGCCTCGCGCTGCGCGGCGGCCTCCCGTGGCCGCTGGCGGAGCTGCTGCGTTCCGGGGGCCCTGGGCTCTCCCCCGCTCGGAGCGGGGTCTCTCGCGAGGGCGTCTCGCGGCCGCGGCCACACGGTACAGTAGGGAACCGACCACAAGAGGCCTTCCAGAAGAGGCCCACCCCTCTGCACGAACGAAATGGACACGGAAAGAATGGGTACAATGCCCAACAGCGTCCAAAAACCCTGGGACCCCAGGACGTCCCTCGATGTTTGGCGTGGGAGCGTCACGCTCTCCATCGCAAAACTATCGAAGCCCAAGAAACCCAGGAAATCCTGGAGGCAAGCAGGGTGGTTCTTGGCACGGGTTTCCACTGTATCTGGGCCCCGGGGCCATCCAAAATGGATCCGGGACGAAAAACTACCCATCGGTCGTCGAAAGTAGGTATTTCTGGAGTCCCAGACTCCAATCTTCTTCAAGCGCCTTCCTGCTTCAGTGATCAAGTGGCTTCACCTCTTCCGTTCTCTTGAGAGGGCGGGCGGCCACCCAATCCACTTTCCACGCCTTCCTACTCCATGCTTCCACCTACTTCTTCCGACCGATGGGTACCCCTGAGGGAGGGGTCGGGACATTGGGGGCCGCGCATCGAAGAAATCAGCTCGCCAGATGCCTGGGTCCTCGCGCTGCGAACACCAACCTGTTTTGGTGCCCGCACAGAACACCTGGGCGACACAGCCCGAAGGGAAGTGCCCAAGGCGCCTGCACGACTTCACATGCAGGCGGACCTCGCAGCATGCATGGCAGCACAGACACGCCCCGGGCGTCACATCCGCGGCGCCATTGCGAGGTGCCTCGAGATGCCACCCCGAGTGGGGGCTTGTTTCTGACAGTCTTCGGCTTTCCGCGGGGGTCCTTGCACTTGCGCCCGGCCCCAGGATGTGTTGAGGAGCGGCCATCGGGACGCGAGGCGGGCCCCGGGGACTGGGCCCTCAGGTGTTCGATCATGGACCCCTCGCTAACCACAACTGTCCAGCTTTCGCGCCGAAGACCGCAGGAAACCACTGGATACCGACGACGACTGCCGAAGGCCGTCAGAAGACCGCCGAAGACTGCCAGAGGACCTCCAGAAGACCGCCGAAGACCGCGCAGGGCTGGTGGGTAACACGGGGTCCATCGTCGAATGCGCAAGGATCCAGATCAATGGTGGCCTGTGCCGCGCACAGCAGCACGGCGTCGGAGTGCTGGGCTTCGCGCGGGTGCCCACGGCTGCGGCAGGCTGCGGCTGCGGCGCCAATCGCTGGGCCACGACCGCGGCCACGGCCTGCCTTTGGCCCTTGACTGGCTCTCCCTGGACCCCCCCACCAGCGATCCCCTGAGGGACAACGATGATGGTGAATTAGCATAGGGGGTGCAACTTGCCCTGGAATCGTTGATACATCGCCGATCGGTCGGCGACCGATAGCGGATCCGGATGCCATTGGGCAGGTTGAGGCTATCGGGCCCCCATCGGCGATCAATGGGCGATTGAGGGTCGATGCATCCCCCCCTATGCCTATCCACCCCATCGAAGCAGAAACAGCCGCTCGCAACACGAGCGCGATCTGCAGTGCCTCTCCCGTGCGGAGGCCTCGGGGACGGCTCCGGCGACGGCGGGCGGCCGACGGCGGGCGGCCGCGGCGGCGGCGGCGGCGGCGGGGGCCCGCGGGGCCCGTGGGGGCCACGGCCGCCGAGGCTGCCTTGGAGGTGCTCGGAGGCATTCGTGGCGGCGCTCGAGGGTCGCTGCGCCGGCGGGTTTGGGGGGCCGCGGGCGCGGCCCCGCTCCACACGGCGGGGCCCGCCTTTGGGGTGTGCCTGGTCGGGGCGCGAGGCGCCGAGGGGGGCCCCGGAGCGGCCCCCACTCGGGGGTGGACAGAGCCCCAACAGTGACAGTGACACGTCGATGAGTGAATTGTCCGTTTTCGGTTCTCGAGAGGGCGCCGCGGCCGTTATTTTCCAGGCTGGCGCCCGCCAGGTTTGGGCCTCAGGTCGTTTTCATTAAACCACGTTTTACGAAAGGGGGGTCTGACCATCCCCGATCCACGGGCCCAGCGGCAGCCACCCGAGAGGCATCCCGAGGCAGAAGACGCAGCCACGAGGCCTCCTGCCCACAGTGCAGCCACGGTGGCGGGACGGTTTTCAGAGGCCCGGCCCCTCGCCTTGAGGCGGGCATGCCCCTCTACAGGAGGGGTATCCAAAGATAGACTAACCATAGTACGGGGACGATTTGCCGATTATTTTAGACATGCTATCTGCATATTTTTTGACTATTTTAATGTTTCTTTCAACACCCGCGTGCAGGAGGACATGCCCGACCTAAGGCAAGTGTAGATGCTCCGATCCGCTCTCTCTCTGCGAACGAGCCTGTCCGCCCCTGCGCTGATCTTGGTCGGGCCGATCCTGGGCCCACGACGAGCGGTGGGTGGATACGCCCTCCCCATAACTCCAGACGTCGTGATTCTTTCTGTGCCCAGACCCCCTCGCGTTGTGAAATTACTCCGGATTCCATAACAAAGTGGGGGGGGTCACATTCGGGGGGGGGGTCTAATTTGAGCTGTCTTGGAGGGTTCGGGGGGGGTCTGGGCAAAGGGTCCCCCTTTGATGCATAGTCTGGGGGGTCTAAAACTTCTCGTCTGGGAGGGTTGTGACCCCCTCCCTTTTATTACGAAATCTGGAGTGGCCTGGAAAGGACCCAACCATGCGCAGGTGTGACTACCACAATTGTGGATATCGTTTTAGGTAGCGCTCCCTGCGGGGCCACGAGCCGTGTGCAATGGGTGGCGCCCACGCATGGTAGCGCCGCCGCTGGGGCCTTGGGTGGGGCTCCCTATGGGGCCACGAACCGTGTGAGGGGTGTGCCCACATGGGTGGCGCGGACGCATGAGAACGTCGCCACTGGAGCCTTAGGTGTCGCCCCCTCTTTGGGGCCACGATCCGTGTGAGGGGTGTGCCAAAATGGGTGGCGCGGACGCATGGGAACGTCGCCGCTGAGGCCTTAGGTGGAGCTCCCTGTGGGGCCACGGGCCGTGTGAGTGGTGTGCCGAAGTGAGTGGCGCAGACGCATGGGACCGTCGCCACTGGGGTCTTAGGTGGAGCTCCCAATGAGGCCACGAACCGTGTGATGGGTGTGCCAAGATTGAGTAGCGCGGGCGCATGGGACCGTGGCCACTGGGGCCTTAGGTGGAACTCCCGATGGGGCCACGATCCGTGTGATGGGTGTGCCGAACTTGGTGGCGCGGACGCATGGGAATGTCGCCACTGGGGCCCCAGGTGGAGTTCCCTATGTGCCCCCGAACCGTGTGAGGGGTGTGCCAACATTGGTGGCGCGGACGTATGGGGATGTCGCCACTGGGGCCTCAGGTGGAGCTCCCTATGGGGCAACGACCGTGTGATGGGTGTGCCAAAATGGGTGGCGATGACGCATGGGACCGCCGCCAGTGGGGCCTCAGGTGGAGCTCCCTGTAGAGCCACGATCCGTGTGAGGAGTGTGCCAACATGCGTGGCGCGGACGCACGGGACCTTCGCCACGTGTTCCTTAGGTGTAGCTTCCTAAGGGGCCACGAACCGTGTGATGGGTGTGCCGAAATGGGTGGCGCGGACGCATGGGACCGTCGCTTTTGGGGCCTTCTGTGGAGCTCCCCATTTGGCCACGACCCGTGTGAGTGGTGTGCCAAAATGGGTGGCGCGGACGCATGGGAATGTAACCGCTGGGGCATCAGGTGGAGCTAGCTCCTTCTGGGGCCACGAACCGTGTGATGGGTGTGCCGAACTGGGTAGCGCGGACGCATGAGAACGTTGCCACTGGGGCCTTAGGTTGAGCTCCCTATGGGGCCACGGTCCGCGTGAGGGGTGTGTGCCAAAATGGGTGGCGCGGGCGCATGGGACCGTGGCCACTGGGGCCTTAGGTGGAGCTCCCAATGAGGCCACGAACCGTGTGATGGGTGTGCCAAGATTGAGTAGCGCGGGCGCATGGGACCGTGGCCACTGGGGCCTTAGGTGTCGCCCGCGATGGGGCCACGATCCGTGTGAAGGGTGTGCCGAAATGGGTGGCGCGGATGCATGGGAGTGTCGCCGCTTGGGCCTCAGGTGGAGCTCCCTGTAGGGCCACGATCCGCGTGAGGGTGTGCCAAAATGGGTGGCGTGGACGCATGGGACCGTCGCCACTGGGGCTTTAGGTGGAGCTTCCTGTGTGGCCGCGATCCGTGTGAGCGATGTGTGCCAACATTGGCGGCGCGGACGCATGGGGATGTCGCCATTGGGGCTTTCGGTGGAACTCCCCGTAGGGGCCACGGAGCGTGTGAAGGGTGTGCCAAAATTGGTGGCGCGGACGCATGGGGCCGTCGCCATTGGGGTTTAAGTGGGGCTCTCTATGGGGCCACGAACAGTGTTATGGGCGTGCCGGAATTATTGGCACGGATGCATGGGACCGCCGCGGGCCTTAGGTGGAGCTCCCTATGTGGTCACGATCCGTGTGAGTGGTGTGCCGAAGTGAGTGGCGCGGACGCATGGGACCGTGGTCACTGGGGCCTTAGATGGAGCTCCCAATGTGGCCACGAACCGTGTGATGGGTGTGCTAAGAATGAGTGGCGCGGACGCATGGGACCGTCGCCTTTGGGGCTTTAGGTGTCGCCCCCTATGGGGCCACGATCCGTGTGAGGGGTGTGCCAAACTGGGTGGCGCGGGCGCATGGGAGTGTCGCCGCTGGGGCCTCAGGTGGGGCTCCCTGTAGGGCCACGAGCCGTGTGAGGGCTGTGCCGAAATGAGTGGCGCGGACGCATGGGGCCGTCGCCACTGGGGCCTCAGGTGGAGCTCCCTACGGGGCCACGAACCGTGTGAGAGGTGTGGGCGCGGGCGCATGGGACAGTCGCCACTGGGGTTTTAGGTGTCGCCCCCTATGGGGCTACGACCCGTGTGAGTGGTGTGCCAAAATGGGTTGCGCGGACGCATGGGACCGCTCCTTTTGGGCCTTAGGTGTAGCCCCCTAGGGGGCACGATCCGTGTGAGGGGTGTGCCAACATGGGTGGCGCGGACTCATGGGAACGTCCCTCCTTTGTCCTCCCCTTCCTCCTCTACTTCCTCCTCTTCCCCTCTTCTTCCCTTCCCCCTCCACTCTCATCTTCCCCTGGCCGTCCGCTCCTCTTCCCCCCGTCCTCCTCGCCGCCTGGCGCTCCTCCTGTCGCGCCAGGTACGGCATGCCGCTGTTCTTCCCGTCTCCCTTTGGCTTCGGTGGCTTCGGCGGCGGGTACGACCGCGGCCCCACCGCCACAGACCAGCAGCTCAGCAACCAGCAACTGCAGGACGAGCGCGACATCCTCCCACTCGTAGGGAACGAAGGAGGGAGGGAGGGCGAGGGAGGGCGAGGGGAGAGGGCGAAGGATGAAGGGAGGGGGGGGGGGCGTGGAGTTGGAGGAGTATGTGAGGAGGGAGGGCCGATTCTTTTTTTGGTGGGTCTGCAGACCAGCGATCTCCAGAAATTGTCAGGAACCTCCTCTCCGCCCGCCTCCTCTTCCTCCTCCTCCTCTTCCTCCTCCTCCTCCTCCTCTTCCTCCTCTTCCCTGCTGCTCCTCCTCATCCTACTCGCTGCTGCTGCTGCTGCTTCTCCTCCTCCTCCTCCTCCTTTCCCCCCCTTCCTTGGAAACTGGGCACTGGTAGCAACAGATCCGATCCCCGAAGCTATCACGCAGTACCTCCTCCTCCTTCTCCTCCTAATGTTTCTGCTGTTCCTTCTGCTCCTCCTGCTCCCTGCTGCTCCTGCTCCCGCTCCCCCGCCTTCTCGCCCTCCTCCTCCTCCTCCTCCTCCTCCTCCTCCCCCTCCTCCTAGCGTTCCTTCTCTTACTTGTCCTCCTCCGTCCTCCTCCTCCTCCGCCTCCTCCTCCTCCTCCTCCTCGTTCTCTTCCCTCCTCGTCCTCCGTCTCCTTCAGAGTATTCTCCTCCCCCTCCTCATCCTCTTTCTCCTCTTTTTTTTTTTTTTTTCTCTCTCTCTCTCTCTGTGTTTCTGTCTCTGTGTCTGTCTCCGTCTCTGTCTCTCTGTGTCTATTTCTCTGTCCGTGTCACTGCCTCTGCCTGTGTGCGTCAGCTGCTCCGACGCCGTCGGGCGCTCGCAGCGCGCGCCACCCCCTCACGGCTCGCGCCTCACCTGTCCGCCCGTGCCCGTCGACGCCTGTCCCCCTTCCTGGCCCCGCGGGGGACCACGTGCCCCCCCCCTCCCGCGCGGCTTACGCCGCATCGGTGCCCTCGGTGGCGCGCCCTGGGGGGAGCTGGAAAAGGGGGGAGGCGGAGTGAGGAGGAGGATGAGGAGGAGGAGGAGGAGGAGGAGGAGGAGGAGGAGGAGGAGGAGGAGGAGGGGGAGGAGGAGGAGGAGGAGGAGGAGGAGGAGGAGGAGGAGGAGGAAGAAGAAGAAGACCAATTAGAATACTAATAATGATAATACGAAGAAGAATATTAATAAGCATAATAAAACTACTACTAATAATACTACTAGTAGTATTAATCATACTACTACTACTACTACTACTACTACTACTACTACTACTACTACTACTACTACTACTACTACTACTACTACTACTACTACTATTAATAGTACGAAGAATACTAATACTATTAATCATAATACTACTACTAATAATGATAATACGCATACTAATAAGAATGATAATAAGACTAGTAATACTAATAAGAAGAATACTAATAGTAATACTAAGAAGAAGACTGCGAATAATAATAATAATAAGACGAATAATCATAATATTAATAATATAGCAATCATAATACGAATAATAATAATAAGAAGAATAAGACGAATACTACTGATAATGATGATACTATTAGTTATACTAATAATAATACGAATAACAATATTATGAATACTAATAATAATGATATTATTAATAATAATACTAACAATAATATTATTAATAATACTGATAATAATAATAACAACAGTAATAATAATAGTATTATTATCATTAATAATATTACTAATAATATTAATAATACTAATAATAATAGTAATACTAATAATACTAATAATACTAATAATAGTAATAATACTAACAATAATAATAATAGTTATAGTAATAATACGACGAAGAAGAATAACAAGAAAAAAGAGGAGGAGGAGGTGGAGGAGGAGGAGGAGGAGGAGGAGGAGGAGGAGGAGGAGCAGGAGCAGGAGGGAGGAGGAGGAGGAGGAGGAGGAGGAGGAGGAGGAGGAGGAGGTGCCCTCGGTGGCGCGCCCTGGGGGAGGGGGGCAGAGGGGACCGAGCAGCTCTCTCCTGGCCTCTCCTTGGAAGGCCGCGGGAGGGCTCCTCGCGAGGCCCGGGGGGCCTCCGAGGAGCCTCGCCTCCTCCCGGAGGAGGCCTGGCGCCCCCCCCTCGGGAGCCTTGAGACGGGGGTCAATGCAGACGGGGGTTAGCCAGAGCGCCGGATCCTGCAGGATCCTGCGAAGACCCCCTCTGGCTGACCCGGGTTAGCGAGCCGCTCGTGGCCGCGAGGCGGCCGCGCCTATTGGCTGACCCGGGTCTGCGAAGACCCGCGCCGCAGCTTTTTCTTCGCACTGCAGTTTTTGGTTTCCTGATGACCCGGGTCTGGATTCACCCCGGTCAGAAGATCGCCGACCCCCTCCTCCTCCTCCTCCTCCTCCTCCTCCTCCTCCTCCTCCTCCTCCTCCTCCTCCTCCTCCTCCTCCTCCTCCCATGCCGCTTCCCCCCCTCGGCGCGCTGCCGACGTCTGCCCACGCGGGGATGCAGCTGCCGTCGGGTCGGACGGGCGCTGCCCCTCTGCCGGAGGGATGGTGCGAGAGCAGTGCTGCCATTGCCCTGACTGTTTTTTTTGACTGCTTGTGCAACGGGGTGCAGGATAGCGCGTGCTCTTTTGGCTATGTTTGATTCTTTTTGGAATACGTCTTGACCTTCCTTCCGCAACCCGACCTGAAGCTACTGGGAGGTTAGGTTCAGCATCGGCGCTGGCACATCCGAGGTCAAACATCGTCTAATTCGGCATCACCCCGCCTGATCCCGCTGAATCCTGCTTATGACGACCTCGGGCGCAACCGTTGGGCGCAACCGGGCGGCCCGGGGGTTAGACTCTGGGGTGCTTGGGCGACCCGGGGGTTAGACCCTGGGTTTTGGCGGCCCCGGATTAAGATCCGGGGCGGGTTAGAGAAGAGGGGGACCTGCTCAGGGATGAGAACCTGGGGCGACCCTGGCTTAGTCCGGCTTAGTGCGGCTTCGTCCCGGGCTTAATTTGGGCTGGATTTGCCCAGTGGGCGCTTCATCGTGAATGGCCCTTGATCGTTCTGGCGAATGCGAAGGCCAGCCAGGAGTTGCCTCTTGACCCGTGCCCGTCGAAGCGTGCCTCTGCCCCGGCCTCGCAGCTGGCCGTGGCGTCTGGCCGCTCGTCGGCGGCGAGCGCGGGGGGGAAGTGAGAAGGAGAAGGCCTTCAAGAAGACGGCGGGGCTTCTCAGACCCCCCCCACGGCCTTCTGAGAAGTTCTCTGTGTCGTCGGGGAAGGCTTATCCGCTGCCAAAAAAATTGGCCCATACACCCTCCAATGAACTGTTCCTGGGCCTCAGGGGAGGGCGGCGGTGTAAAAATCACCACTAAGAGCCAGCGATTTTACACACCGCCGCCCTCCCTGAAGGTACACACGGAGTTCCTCGGAGGGTGTCTGTGTGTACAGTGGGGGCCCATGCCGAGAGACACCCTGCTTGCCTCTAGGGTGCCCTGGGTTTCTTGGGTTTCGACGGTTGCTCGACGGAAAGCGCGACACTCCCACACCAAACATCCATGGACGCCCTGGGGTCTGAGGCTTGGGTTTCTCGTGGAACGCTTCTTGTGGTCGGGCCCCTGTTGTACATGTCTTGGTGGCGCAGCTTGGATCCTCCCAGAAGGCCGGGGGACTTCCGAGCCTTGGAGAAGGCCTCTTACTGCTGCTCCTCCTCCTCCTCCCGCCCTCCCTCCCTCCCTCCCTCCCGCCCTCCCCTCCCTCCCTCCCCTCCCTCCCTCCCTCCCTCCCCCCGGCCCTTCCAGTTGGTTTCTCAGACTTGAGCCAGTACGTGACATACGTTCACTGTCATTTATCCATGCTTGCTCTAAGCGTGCTACGTGAAACACAACTAACAGTAGTCTAACGAGGTCTGTACACCCAAATCTTTACTCTGCTACCCGTTCTCTTGACTACTTAGAATCAGAAAGCGGAGCGTGGAGCGATCCCGGCCTCACACATCATCATCATCTCCTCGTAGATGTCGTTGTCGATCTTCAGGTACTTGTCATGCCGTAGATCATCACTGTCCAATAAATCCTGCTCGCTGTAGTCCGGCTTGATCACGCTGGGCTTGATCCTGATGAACTTGTTATCCTGTACTTGCAATTTCCACAATCCTGTCGTACACTTCAGTAGTAGCTGCGGGAAAACTCCAAGCTTCGTCAGTCCGTCGGCCAACATACTTGATGTCGGTACATGAGTCACTCTGCGAAACCTTCCTGTCAAACGATCCTCCCTGAGGGACATCACTGATATCCTCTGAGTTTTATCTGTTGTCAGTCCTCTGGCTCCCGTGATCAGCTCGAAGAGGTCCATGCAATCTGTCACTGCATCACATGGGATCAGTAACGCGTTATCTTGTTCCAACATGAGAAGTTGTCGAGGTCTTGCCGGGGAACCAGTGATCTGCATAGAAAACAACTCCGTCATTCTTGATGAAATAAGTTGTGCCACCTGGAGTCCACCAACACATGCGTTCGTCTCAGCATGGGAGGTGCTGTGGCTCACTCGTGATGCCTTTCTTGCGGTGAAATACAGAGTATGACCATATCCTCCAAAATCTCGGGCCTCTGTCACAGGCCACCATTCTTTATTGTCATACTGCACCTTGGGCTCGCTCATGAGTTCAACGATCTTGCCCTCGAAAGGATAACCTGATCTCTTTGATGCGTGTCCTGCGTCCGTGATGGATACCAGTCGTAGAGGCCACTGTAGCTTGTGAAAGTGAAGTCCATTCATCGTCTTGCTCTTGACAGCGCGGGCCAACAGGGCATTGCACTGCTTCAGGTGTGTCATCAGAGGGCTGACCATCTCGCTCTGCAGAAGTACCACTCCATGGCATAGATCCACACGCGTCAAGCAGACCCACAAGAGACTGCACAGCAATGAACGAAATTCCTTGTGTTCGTCCTTGTTCAGGGGCAGGCTGTCATTCTTGAGTCGCTTGGCGTCGGTTACCTTCGCTGGAGTCAACTTCATCAAGTAGTGCTCTTGGTCCAGGAAGTAGTGTCCAGGTGATGGCATCGAGTGGCGAACTCCGACATATATCAATGGAAGAACGCATCTCTTGACTGTGCCAAAACGCTCTGACAATCGTATGTAGGTCTTGTCCAAGAAGCTCTGAGCTGCGATCGTCAGGATGTCGTCAACGTGAGTGATGTAGATAGCCACTATCTCCCAGCCGCGGGTGATGTAGAAGAAGTTCTCATCATGGTAGGCGCTCATGAAGCTCAGCTCTTTGACCATGAAGTTCGCCAGTGCCAGCTGCCATAAGAGAGGATCATCCACTAGTCCGTACATGGCCTTCAATAGTTCGAGCACGAAGTAGACGATGTCCTGGTCCTGCACATAGATGCCACTGCCCTCGATGTTACGGAGATGTCTCCAAACGTTTGGAGGTGGCTTGAACCAGACCTTCCGAAGCTGCTTAACTTCGTGTCCCAACTCAGCTGCCCGGCGTACAACTTCAGAAAACTTGAGGCCCTGTAAGAAGGCCGTGCTGATATCTAGACTCTCAATCACGAGGTCGTACTGAGCTGCAAGAGATACTGCCAAGCGGTGAGAAAGTCGTGACGCTGTCGAGCTGTGTCTGTCAATGCTATTCTTCTGTCGATCGAGAAAGCCTCGTCCACAGCATCTGCTTTTCACCAGTCCTTTTGAACGATCTGCCCATTTCCGAACCCATGTGCCATCAATGGTGTTGTCGGAGTCTGATACTGGTGCGAGCTTAAAGATGCCGTGAGATACGAAGCTAGTGACTTCCTTCTTGTCTGCTGCTTCGACCGCTGGCCAATGCGCGATGATCTCCTCTGGAGTGAGGATCTCGCTGCTAGATACACTGAAACACTCATCATCCTTGAAATCGTAATAGAAACAGCGTGAGGTACGAAAGGGGCCTGGAACAACTAGTAGAGCCTCCTTCTCGTGCCAAGGTAAAGTGCCAGCTTGCTCGACTCGGGCTTGATGCAATAGAAGCTCTGCGTCGTGAATTGCATGGTTCATGTAGTCTGCTGCATAGTCATCATGAACTTCGTCAAATGAGTACTCTGCTGGAGACGCCCACCAGATCGGGAATGGTGTCACATATCTGGAAACTTGAAGATCCTTGTGGTCGATGGTGTCGTCCAGAGAGCCTTCAGGATACTCGATGGTCTTGTCTGGATCTTCAGTGGCAGGGTGTTCACTCGCCTGGTTCTGGTCTCCAGCTTCTGGATATTCAATGGTACGATCCAGATCTCCAGCTCCTGCATCAGGTAGAGATGATACTTGCTGTGCTGATGGCTGAGCTGTGAGTGAGTCATCTGGCACCCTCGGATAGCCTCCGTGGGAGGCAGCCTTCTGATCATCCCAGGATGAGCCACCTGGATCCGCCGACTTGGAGCCCTCTGGCCCCTTGGCGATCGGCTCACGCTCGCCTGAGACCTCCTCATCATTACTCGCATTCTGACGGGGGTCGTGGCGACTCGGTGTGGCGTGTGGCCGTGATATTGCAGGCGAACTGGTCGCTGCTGGTGTAGATGCAGTAGGCTCTGATATCGGTAATATCGGCTGGGATGATGTTGAAGATGTTCTCGGCTGCTTCTCGCCTGGAGGTGATAGTATCGTAGATGTATCCGATCTCTTCTGACCTGTTGTAGCTCGTGGTGAAGATGGTACCGTAGGCGGAGCAGGGGCAACCATTGGAGTGGCTACTCGGGGTACTGGAATGTCCTTCGGCCTTACAGGTTGCCCATCATCGTCCGGTAGTTGAATACGAACACGAGTGCGAGACCTATCTTGACCTTCTTCAGATGATACTGAACTCGACTCTGTGTCTACCTGCTCCTGTGCCATTGGTGATGCTATCGGGGTCTCGGAGATTGCTAACTTTCTCGGTGTCCCAGCAAGTGGTGTCATAGGTACTGGCACCGTCGGTGTGTCTGGAAGCTGTAGTCCTGGAGGAGGTGCCAGTGGAAATGGAAAGATAGGCGCTGCTGGAATCTGACTTGAGTGTGAAGGCGAGGCCTTCCAAGTCGCCGGTGCAGGAGGAACAACCACTGGCACTGCTGGTGGTGCAGGAGGTGCCGGAGGTGCCGGCGGGTGTCCTGCTGCAACTTCTGATATCTGCGTCATTGGGCTGTCATTCGTCATGCTGACCTCTGGCGGCTGCATGCTGACCTTCGAAGGTTGTGAAGGTGCTGCTAGTTTTGTCCATGGTGGTGATGGCGGCCTTCTCGGCTGGTCTGGCGGCGTCTGATAGTCAGGCGCAGGCGGTATCGTAGATGGCGTCCCATCTGACCAAGGCCACGGTGAGGGCTGCCACATCATCTTGCTCTTTGGGTCCACGACGTCGTCCAGGTCGGGGGTGTGTTCGTAAGAGTCATTCTGCTCGTCCTGAACTTTAAAGAAATAGAACAACACATATGATGACTCAGACCATGGACCATGAGATGCCAAGGTGATGGCATTGACCGTCGCAAACTGCTTCACCACATAGTTGGATCGGACACTCCGATTCCACAAAACCAGGATGCATCGTCTTGCTGCAGGCACTGCCGTCGTACGCTTGCACTGAGTGCCCACCTGACTGCCACCAAGGTCCGATTCGAGAAACGTAGTGTTGGCTACCTGCTTGGCGACCTTGTAGATATGCGGCTCGTTCTCATAGAGGTCTGGAGGTACAATGGTGTAGTGCCCTTCTGCCTCATTGAAGAACTTGCCGAAGATAAGCGGAGCGTTTGGTACCAGCTGCTCGACCAAACTCATAAGCTCAAAGACCAGTCGTGACTTGTCTTGGTCCGTCTTGTACTCTGTGTGTGTGTCTCCTTGTGTCAGCAGCCAAGTGAAACCCACATGAGGTCGTATATGTCGTAGTGGTACCAGCATCGGATATCCACGCCATGAAACAATCGCCTTGTTCTCGGGCATGTAATTCTTGATGAGATCTGCTGGTCCTCTCCATCCAGGGTCGTCTTTGGTGTCAGGCTCTCTCCACAAGTCCACCTTGGAGCCGTCCACCAACTTGGCTGCGTCCGCTGCGGTATGTTGCTGAACTCGTGTGTTGTGGGCCTTCGCGATCCTGTCTTCCACGATCGCGGCGCTGATGGCGTCCTTGGCGGCCATCCTGAGTCTGATGGAGGTCTCCACTGCATCGGGCACACTCTCGAGGATACCCAGCTGCGCGACGAGGCCTGGGTTCTCATGATCATAGAGCTCTCGTGGTTGAACTCCAGTAAGTGCCGCTGCGGGAGTGGATCCGCCATAGGAAAGAGACAGGTTCGTAGTCATGCAACATTCCTCGACGCAACGCTCTTTGCTGACATTCCATCCTTGCTTTTGTGCCGTAGCCCACAACTTCATACTGCCAATACGTAATATCTGGATTCGCCTCTCACACTTGGGCGCTGCAGTATGTCCCTGACTTCCGCCAAGGTCTCTGTTGATCGAGAAATGCTCGCACGCCTTGGAGACCAGATCTGAGATGACCGCTCCTTCTTGATCTGAAACAAGCCACCACATAGGTCCGAAATATTTTATCCAGAGGTGGAAAGCGGTGTTCATCCAACAATCTGCCGTCTTGTGATCGAGCCTTGTCGTGAGGGCGTAGCTGATGCATTCATCAACAAAGACCACGAACGTCATATCCCAGATAAACCAAAGGTCTGTCTGCACGCGGAAGTTAAAGTGAGGGCTCATCGTAACTCCATGTTGAGGTCGTGTCGGATGTCGGCGCCAGTCCATACAATCCTTGCACATCTTAGGTATAACCTGAAATACCAGGGTAAGAACCTCCGTGCCGAAACCTCCTCGCCGAAGAAACCGAATCATATCATCACGTGGAGCATGCCAGAACTTGATATGGAGGCCAAGAATGATCTTCTGCTTCTCGGTGGTGCTGATCGAAGGGTCGTTCAACTTGCCACGAATCTTGGCAAAGTCGAAACTTGGTTCGATGTAGTCCGGCAGCTCAACTACCTTCGGGTCTTCGTAGGGTTCCAGTGTCCTTGGATCTGTTTTCCGTTTTAAGGCTTTCCTAGGAGGTCGTGATCCTTGGGGTACAGGAGGAGGTACGGGAGGAGGATCCCCAGTGTCTGCATCATCATCTGCATCTTCTGGTAGTATTGGTTGATCGTCACCTGCACCGTCTGGTTCAGGCGCTGGAGCTGGCGGCTCAGCAAGTACTGGGCCTGCCGGTGGTGCTGGGTGTGCTGCTGCTGCTGGTCCTGCTGCTGCTGGTGCTGCTGCTTCTGGTGCTGGAACTCCTCCTGGTGGGACAGTCGATGATCCACCAGCTCGGAGAGGATCGAAGCGACAGCCTTTGACCTTTGTATGCGGCAGTGTGTCCACCTGTTGGCCATCGGGACCGACCTTCTTAGCTCCATGCTTGCACCGTTCGCATGTCCAGCCAACAAAGTGAGACTGGCTCCTGCCGAAACGCTGAACGTTCGAGCCGATGTTGTGCTGCACCGTGTCATTGCCGATGTGCGTAGCAACGTCCATGAGCAGGGCCAAACAGAACAACCAAGGATATACTGCCGAAAGTGCTGTGCGGTGGATAGATCCAACTCTGCCCTGCAAGATGCCGTGGTCCTTGCACTTGTTCTCGCCTTTGCACTGTCGTACTGAATGTCGGAGTTGAATGCCAGTCGCCAAGAGAGCCGTTGCCTTCTGTGTAGGTAGGCCCGTCTCGTCGATCGCGCCAAACTGACATTGATCAGTGTGATACCTTTTGTTGTCACCCAGGGTGAACGATGGTGACTCGGTAACCTTCTTGAGCGGGCTCTTGCTGAATATCGAGGAAGACCGAGGGTTCTCGGCGATAGATGCCTCATCCCGCTCCTGGTCGTCGTCCATGTGCTGGGCTACCCAGTCCAAAGTCGATCCTTCTGCTTGTCGGGCTTTGTCGCGTTTATCTGGAGGTGATCGATTTGACTGAACAGACCAAGGAGCACATCGTGGGGACCAGTAGTGAACACGGACACCCAGTTCTTGTTTGCACTGATCCAGTAGGCGTCGATGTTCAGGCTGCTTCAAGTCCCATCCATATCTGTAGTCCACGGGGAAGGCGATCTTGAGACCCACAGCTGCTCCGGCTGCCGAGAGGCGGCCAGATCCACTCATGCCTTCTTGCAGGCAAAGAGGGGCACCGTGAAGATAGCGCTTCATGACAGTCGTCCACTGACGAACGTTGTCCGGCGTGATAACCACACAGCCTGTGAAAGTGTAGAATTCTTCTGGCATTGCACGATATTCATGAGCTAGTCGCTTTGAGTGCTCTTCCATATGTCGAGGCCAGTGATCACCTTCATAAACAAAACCTTCGGTCATGTTCCAAGCCTTGAAGTAGTCCAGGTCATGGTGCTTCGTGATTTTGCTGTATGATGGCCAATCGCATGTCGGTGTCCATTGCACGCTGATCTCTGTTGTCTTAGGGGGTGCTGAGGAACTGCGAGTTGGCGTAGTACTGCTTCCCGTTCTCGAGGCCTGACCATGGAGCTGAATGGATGCCTTGTCTTCGGTAATCCGATGACCGAAGATGTTGCGACAATAGTTCCGAACTGCATCCTTTAGAATATCTTCTTCAACATTGGCTTAACCGAACTTCCCGATGGGTAAGAGGTAGTGACCACTGTCCGTGAGAAAGACGCGAATAAAATATGCCTTCTTCTTGCCATTCGGGACAGAAGCGTTCAAGACCAGAACTCCATCATGATTGTCAAGAATATCGCAGAAGAGGGCGGCCGAGTACTGCAACAAGGATGAGTTGGGAAGCAACCCAGGACACTTGGAGCCAGTACCGCCCATCAGATCTGCCTTGAACGTAATATCACTGCATCCAGGAACTCCGATCGGCATCGTCGCAACTGCCAGTCCAGGGTCTGACTGGCCGTCGATGCCTGAGAAGGTGCTGGTGCTGGGCTCGAGCTCGTACTGAAGGCCTGCGCTCTTCAAGTGCTGCTTAACAAAGTCCTTCATCGTGTCCGTGCCCATGATGCCAGCTGCGGCTCCTGGATCCACGATAAGACCTGCTACCTCCTTGCCACGAACAGTATGCATCGTGCTGAAGTCTTGAGCAGGGCTGTCCGTTGTCATGAAGATGCCGCGCTTGATCTGCCCATAGCCAATGCCAGTGTCCATGGGAGTGTTGTTGTTGACGGTCTCCTCGATCTCCGGCGGAGGCCTGAAGCGTTGAGGGTCTTCT